AAATTTTCAACGGACTCAAATAGAGTGCACCCACTGGACACCCAACGTTAGTCAAAGGTGATATGTTTCGTCCAGGAGTATTCATTTGACCTAGCTCATGCTAGCAATCTCACGTTAGGAAATAAGGCCTCGTTAATCCTTGGCTTGCTCATGTTTCGTCTGTTGAGGGTTGCTGTTCGTAGAGGTGCGACAGCTGGTTAATGTAAACAGATTTTAAGCAGATTTCAAACAAATTAAAACAAATTTGAAGAAGATGTTTGTCATACGAGGGATACCTGTTTTGTTCGAAGTGTTTTCAAAAGTGGATTTTTGGGTTCGGCAAGAAAAAAGGAAGCACTTCCTGGAAAGTTAGCCAATCAACGTTTTTTATTTATAGACTCTGTGAATGTGAATGTCTCTCTGTTTAAAATCTGTTTTTCATTAATCAGCTGTCGCCCCCATACGAACAACAACTCTCAGAAGTTGAGAAACTTGTGCGAGCTTAGTAACAAAGAGGTCTTACCTTTTAACGTGTGATTCTTAACACGGTTGCAGAATTACCCCAGCTTCAACCAGATAAATTCTCTCGAGAAAAATATCTGGTCGAGGCAGGAATCGAACCCACGGTCTTCCGATCGTATGTCAGGCGCATTACCACCGAGGCCAATTCCACAACAGACTATTCAATTTGTAAACGAAATTTGTGAATACAAGTGGCTGACTGATTGGACCCTTCAGTACTTTATATTAATATTAAGATTAATTTCAGCAGAATCATTCATGTTACATTTCCGAAATCAATGATATATCAATGAAAGTACAAATATCAACAGAATTCTCATCGTAAGTGAAAAAGTCTTACTCATGAGTTTGATGTGATTTTTATTTCTTAATCTGGAACGTATTCAAAAAACAGTTCATTATGTGATTTTTACTAAGCAGTTTTACAAAAATGCAACACATGTTTCGCCATACAATAGCTTCTTCAGGCGTGTCTTTACAGTAAAGATACTCCTAAAGGAGCCATTGTATGGCGGTACAGTAAAAATCATACAATAAACTGTATTAGTTAGTTTTTTAATATAGATTTTCATCAAGTATCGGGTAGTTCTATTCAATTTTTATTATTAGATTTACCTAACTATTATATAGGGACACATTGTAAAATTAATTTAAAACTATTAGATGAGGCAATTTGTGAAATTGATTTTATATAATTCCTAATATTTCAGTTATTATATTCACCTTACTATTAGATAAGAATACATTGTGAAATTTATGTGAGACTAGTAGATGAGGCAACATGTGGAATCGATTTTATATAGCTTATAATATTTCAATCTATGATTTACCTGACTATTACGTAAAGACACGTTGTAAAATGAATTAAAGACACTCAAGACGCTGGTACCTGAAACATACCATAGATACCTATGGTATGAATAGGGATAGCTTTGTTAGTATAATTAGTTTGATCTCCCCCTTGAAGATGATCACTTGGTGATCGAAACACGCGTCGAGATGTTAAAATAACGGTTTGGTGTTGGGAAAAAAGTCCAGTAAATTCAAGTGAATACTTGAGAAAAATATTCTAGTATTGGAAAGCATACAAATTGAACTTCAAAATGTCATATCCTAATAAGTTTGAAAAAAAGTTTCATTCAGTAGATGGTTCGTTTCATATTTCTATTTTGACAGATTTTCTTGTGAATGTTAAATAATTTTATATAGGATGTTATGAAAATAATAGAATTTTCAGAAACAATTTCAGCTTTAGATGATTACATAGTAAAATACTTCATGAAATTTTTTATTTAGTTGATCAAGAGTCAAACCACTGGATCACTCAATACATTTATGAGTACTCCTTCGAAGGAGCTTGATCAATTTCTATGGGATGGTAATTATATGATATTGGAATTATTATCAATAGCTGAGTTTATTAGTAGCCGAGTTATTCCGTTTCTACCTAAAGGCTTGCGTAGTGATTATAAGTAGGTAAAAATAAAATAAGTTACATTTTCTATAAGATACCCATTTTCGAAGAATTACATTTGTGGAATGGATAAACGGAAGGCCACAGAATAATTCTTTTATACATCATTCTTATTTATTTAAAACGCGAAATGTGTTTAAATAATGTCATGAGTGTTGAAACTAGTGTTTTTTCTTGACATATATGTGTAAATGTTATTCTACGAGTGCGATAGAACATAAATACTGACACTTTGAGTTAAAAAAATCACTTGTTTTTTGTCAAGCGCCCTACTGTACTTTGTTATCAAATGCCCTACTATACATTTGTAGAGATTCGAAAAAAAAAAATTTTTCTTGTTTGTACATAGATATAGACTATGTACAAACTATGCTGATGATTGAAGTATGAATTGTTATTTTCATAGTATTAATAGTGACACATCAAGAATGAGTAGTAGATTTTTAAGCAATAAAAATCTGAAATACTTAGTGATTTTATCAAGTTATCAGTATTCTACCGTTTATAGTTTACTCAGTACTAAGAAATAGCATCGAATGAAATGAACAATGATAGGTTCATGAAAATCCTCGTTTTCAAATGCAAAATCAGAAACAATAAATATAGTTAAAAAATACTAAAAAACACGCTTTTAAAGAACATCGAGCGAAAAAGTTAAAATGAATATAGTTTAAAAAAACTAAAGAATACGATTTCCAAGAACATCGAACTGAAAAGTTGAAAATAGTATTTTTTGAATGAACTTAAAACAACAACGATCGAAAAATGCTAGTAGTATTGTGAAAGAAGCGTGGGCGGTAGATATACAAAAAATATATCGTTTGTAGTTAAAATTTTGTTTTTGATTCACTACAAATGCAGTTGAAAAATACTCGATTTTATTTCATTCATTCTTGAATGGTGTTTAATGGTAACTCCAAACATCTAATTTCAGCTACAATCAACTTCATCGTTTGTAGTTTGAGGACAATTGTTATTTTATGATAGTCTTGTTATAGTTGTTCTTTGCTATAATTCGGAAGATTATGAAATAAATTAATATTGTGTTGTGACTAAAATAAGCTACAATCAATTGAAAACCTATTTCAAAACTTTCTTGCGCATTGTTAGTCGTATGTCGTAGTTTGGAGAGTATTAAAGTGGGACTCTCATATAAAATATACCATAAAATAACTGCAAACAATGCTTCACAACTTCCGTTCCTTAGTAGAGAGCCATTTGAGATATGGTATAACATCATGAAGATCAGCTCTGTGTGTACACCTCAATCCGTTAGAGATATTACAAAGGAGATTCATGAAGTTGATTATGTCTAGAAGTTCACGTTTCTCGTCAGATCTCCTGTAAATAGAGTGTGAAGTTATGGATATGAGATTACTTTTGTACAAACGTGAAGTACCATTTCAGCAAAAATAAAGCATCAACAGGAAACCACGACTATAACACACGACATCGCGACCAACTAACCTATCCTACTGGTAAAAAGTCAATTTCACAAAGAGCATATTCTTTCATGGCAACTAAATTATATAACACCGTACCTCACGAAATGGAAAATTTTTATTCCAAACCAATATTCGAAAAACGTTTTGAGAACGGTTCAGTGAAAATCTCAGAAAATGTTGACCTCCAATTCATCGAATAAAACAATTTGCGAAGATAATTTCAATATACCATACTCATCAAAATATGGATTGAATACAACTCATTTTCTATTCGACGAACTTTCTAATCATCAATTTTCAGCTTCTCAACTAACTGGTACTCTCACTGAGGTCACATTTCTCAACCACATTATCAAATAATTTTCGATTATTTCTAAAGTCTTTCATCTCGATTTGTTCCCATTGAAGCAATACAAGTTTCCCAAAGGATTTAGACAAGATTGAATGTGGTTGTGGTTTTTAATAATTTTGAAACACTCAGCAAGTGTTCAATGATATCTTGAAAATAGGTTATATACACACCACCGAACTAGAAGTGGAAGTCAAATTTTTTCTAGGCATTTCAGAGCCCGATTTATTCCTCAATCGCTAATTGTTTTTGGAAATGAAAAACTGTATCATGCCTATTCTCAGATGTGAAATTTGGTTCATATTCAGTGAAGCAACAATAGTCTGTCATAAATGAATATTTAACGTTGGAATTTTCCTCAACGAATGATTCACTCGCCTTACAGACCGACCAACTTAAATTTTTGCCGTGTTTGAAGAACCTAACGAACACTTATAATCAAAACTCAAAAGTGTGGTTTTGCTTTTGAATATCTTTTGAACTCATATGAAATCAATAACGAATGTGTCAAACTAGAGAAGAACTATTCAATTTTTTATTGATATTAATCTGACATTCGACACGCAGGCTTCGAATTTGATAGTGATCGGCTAAGTTGCCTTTGAAGCTCGCCTTCAGAATTTTCCCATAGACAAACATGAGATTAAAAGTATGATTCCTTCCTGAAACCAAAGGAAATCAAACTGACGGTCAATACTCAAACTTTTTCTCGCATATATAAAACATTACTCCAATTATGCTAAATTCGAATTGATTATACGATCAATTCTAACTGAGCCAAATTTTAAAAAGATGGTGATTGAATTTGTGTTTCTAATGAGTTTCTTCTTCTCTTAGTAATATTGAGACACTAGGTAAAACCACTTTTATTATGAATTGATTCAGTTGCAAAGTTGAGACAAAAAACAAACGTCAACTGATCTCACTGTGATTTTGGCGTCCTCCACTCACTTTCTTATTTCCCAAAATGAAAAACCCTAGAAGTACAGAATTAGTGGTCCCAACCGACAACCCCTCTGGTCTTTCTATCAACCAAATCATAGAAAAAAATTTAAATGTCATCTTTGAGGTGTGTCACACAATTCATCCCATAATAAGAGAGACGTATTTGACAAGTTTAAATATTCATTGGTCCTGGAGACTGGTGGACTAGATAATGAGGGTGGCGCGTGCGCCTCCTCCTCGCGATTACTTCTAAATTCCCAACGACTGGCAGTTGTTCCGCGCTTACTGATCGGGTAAGGACTATATTGCTGCAACCCTCCAAACATCGCGTTTTAATCCTTGTGGTGCACTCAGTTGCGAACAGTTCGCGCCAATTTTGGTGGTGGAGCGATTATACGAAAGTATGTGAAGTTCATGGCAGGCTTTAGAGGAATGCTTGATGTGTGTGAGAATGTTGATTATCGCTAGGTGCGAATAGGAGGAAGGTGGACAGATTTTGGGGTGTTTGTACCGGTTGGCCTGATTCTCAGTGAAGCTGATTAATTGTCATCCANTTGAAATAAATTTATTAAAAAAAAGAAATATTTATTGAATGTATTCTTCTTCGTATTTTCACATCAATATATTTTAATGCTTCAGGTATTCGTATAACCTTCACATTTGAAAATGAAACAGTCCATCAGTATATATAATAATTCATCATTGGTTTTTTATCACATCACATATATTTCTCAATTTCTTTGTGAGAATGGTTTTCGTAATTTCAGTAGTTTTTTTGTATGATGTCTTTTCATCACAGTTATTTTAATAGTTGAGCTGATTATTCTATCAACTTAGAACTTGGCACGCAATGATTAGTTAAGATTCTCAAAATAATTGTATTGTATTCAATTGAAATAAAAGAAATTGAATTCAATTAAAAGAAATTCAAAGGGAGAATACAGTACAAAAAATGCAAGGAGAAGGAATACAACATATTTTAATCAAAATTTCGGACGCAGTCTTTCAAACATTCCTGAAGCTTTCAAAATTGAACCATATCTAGTTAAAAATCAGCAGAATGTCTATAACAAATTTTGTGATATCCATATAAGAGGACTGAGAAGTTTTGCAATCAAAATAGGTTTTTGTTATCATCACATCAAACATTAAATTTAATGAATTATATCGTGGAGATAATCGAAATCAATTCTTCTTTCTCGATTTGTATATCAAGTATTCATGAACGAATGAACAACAATACATGGAAGAAATACGATGCCAATAATATAAAATAAATTGAAGTGTTCTAGTAAGAACACTTCTCTCAAACATATCAGTTCTGGAAAAATTGTTAGTACGCTAATTTGTGAGGAGAATGAAGATTTGTGACCTGAAATGAAAATTAATTCATAATTGGGTGAAGATGTCAATTGGAAAAATTGAATGAAAGTACGAAATAATCGAAAAAATGATGAGAAAATTACAAAAAAAAATTGAAAGTGGAATATTTCAAACCAAGTTACTTCACGTTTGGATTCTTAGTATCCACAATATGAAATAATCCAACTGAGAACAAAATATTGAAAGTGATCTGACCATTTTCTCCAAGTCGGTGGAACTGAGTATTTAAATCTTTATGTCACTGACACGGACTTTCTTCAATGAAAGATCAATACATTTATACCTCTAACGAACCTTGGTGACGCCAATTTCGCTTTTAGGTTTTCTGAAGCAGAAGTGATTAGATTCAGTTTATGATTTGTCAACTTGACATTGAATACTTTTGATATATTCAACTTCAAACTGGATCCTCACAATACCCTCACAATTCCTTTGTGACCATGTCACAATAATTGATGTTCTCAAAGAATATACAATTTCATGGAAGGAGATAACTCTGTTAAAGTTATTTTCCTGTGTTTTTGGCCGTAATTTGCATGCTTTCATGCCTGACGTTTCGTCGACTACTGCGATAGACATTATTGAATGATTACGGTTGCAGTGCCCAAATTGGCGCTCGAGTTGTTCCCGTTGTTCCAAACGCAGTAACTACGATGCTGATATTTGATTCGGGTTCAAAATCATTATTAGTGGCTTGGTTTTTTTTAACTGGATAACCTGACCTTGTTTGTGTACCTTTAGGGACAAGTAACCAGATATTATCAATGGTAATTGCCTTTTTTTTTCTATTGAACACTTCATAGAGAGGCAATTTCTATTGCTTCTCTATGAACACTTGGATAATGAATCAATAGTCAAATCACGAACTGAACGAAAACTCTGAAAAAATTATTAACTGCTTCACTTNAGGCATCCTCCGAAGACTTGGGTTAATTTTTTGAGATGGCTGGCAGGCAAACTATTCGTGAAAGCTGCTAAAGAGTATGAGAACAAACCTTTGAAAAATTATGTAGCATGTTGAGTGATGCTAAATGTATTCTTATGTCTGAGATGAAGTACATTGCCGTCAGTCCTGAATATTTCATTCAAGTACAAACAAGGTGGCCGTCAGTTCTGCAGCTTATTTTCAAATATAAATGAAATGGGTATTTTCTGTGAATGATTTTGTAATATAAACGGATTCATACTATAAGATGAATCTTACTTTGGAATTTTGTATTCTTTCCTCATCAAACTGAGTAATACAGTTGATATGTCTAAGGAGTAATGATTCTGTGAGTTTCAATGTAGCAAAGGCATTCTATAAGTAAAAGCTAATGTGATGGAAAAATCTAAGATCTTTGTCTATCCAAACTCTTGGGTTCTTCACTGTGACATGAAGACGTGAAGGTCTTTGCAAGGATTAAGTGATTCGTTCTATGTTGTTTTCTATGAATTTGCTAGTGAGGAATAACAGAGTCGCTATCGTTTCATTGTCATTCTTCATTATTGATTAATAATCATTTCGATCAATTGAACATATTGAAGATATTACGTAGGTCTGCATATTGTTTTGCACATTAATTAATGATAATAATAATTCCCCGTGGACTTTTGAGTTTGGAGTGTCTACATGACAGAATGGTACTGGATACAGTCTGTAAAGTCGTCAGGAGTTCGGATCCCCTTCTCTGCATGGTCCGTGACCATGAGAGAGCAGGAATTGGAGCATTTCTCNAAAATAATGATAATAATAATGATTACAATAATAATAATAGGTCTTTATTCCCAGAATGATACAAAAAATAAATGTGAACATTTACTGAAACGGGAAAGGCTGAAGATCAGTTGGTTGCATCGAAAGATGCAACCTCTGTTTTTCATCTCAGGCGAGTTAGCGAGAATGAGTTTTTCTTGAAAATTAAGAGGTCCATTCAGGATTGCATAGAGTCGACTCATTTACATCCATAGTTTCTTGATGTCACAAATAATTTTCAATATCTTCTTCACTTTTATTCAAAATTTGTTTCAAACGGACTTGTCACCAGTCATTTCAAAATACATGTCCATTTAATTTTTATTCTTCCAATTTATTGAAAAAGACTTGATCCAAAAAGGAAGTTTATACTTATGTATCCTTATTGTTTTGTTTTTTCCAACCAAAATTGTTCGCCTATAGTAGTTCTACCTTCACATTCACATGTGGAAAGTTCTTTATAATTCACCCCCGAGAATTTTTCGTAGTATGTGATTACAAAATATTTTTTCTCCGAAAAACTGAAAAGAAGCTGTCATTAATCATATTTCTTAATGAAATAAGTTAGTGTTTTCCTCCATCGTAGCGAGGTCAGACTAACAATTTATTAACGATTGGGTGGCGTGTTGAAGACTAGTATACTTATTGTTCTATAATTAATAATTCAATTGGAGGTACAAGTCGTAGAAATATGAACTTTTGAGTAGATCAGTGAAGTGGTCGAGTTTGAAAACTATGCGTAACTTTGATTTGAAGCTATAGTTAGGAAGTTCAGGGACAATGCAGTAACTTTGTTGTGGTCTGAATGCACTTAGTTGCCAATTCAGATCTATTTGTTGTAGTGATTTGCGTTTTTCGTTTCAAAACTTCGAATTATAATTGATACTTGAAACTGAACTTTTAAGAATATTTTTGTGAAATTCATATTCACACTGATACATCCACAAATATGGATTTATTTTTTTATTTCTAGAGTTATATGAAAATGAAGAGTTTCATTTTAAAGGCAACATTGACTTATTCGATAAAATTTTGAATCAATTCAATATTATTCAGGAAGTTTTCAGTGTACCTACATTCGAATTCCCAGCTATTTTTGAGTATATATCAGGTGCCCTATAGGTTATTTTCAATACAATCACCTGGAGTAGCGATTTCATGTAGTACATTCACGAAATCGAGTAGCCATCTAATATAACAAATACATTCTTTTCTCTTATTCCGATATTTGAAATAATGAGTTTTCAGTTCCTCAATATTCCGTTGATAATTTCAGTAACTCAGCATTGCGATGTTGAAGGAACTGACATTTATATCTGACCTAATGAAACCAATGACAACTATAGGTTGTTATCCCTCAATTGTTTGAAAAGTCTGGAAAATGATTTTTTGAGAGAACTATGTTAATATGAAATGAAATTTTACATTCGAAACTTTCAAAGTGAAACTGGGCACACGCATTAAATTTTTTCGTATACCTCTGACAAGAAGTATTATAATAAGAATACACATATAACAGGTATTATTGAACTTTTATAGTCTGAGTAGTAAGCGAAAAAGGTGATAGATATGCAATCTTGTGAAAAGCTCTTTAAATTTGTCCGGAATAACGTGACGATGAATCGAAAGCCTCGTGCGCCGCTTTCGTGTAGTACAATTTATTATTTACTGGATATAAAACACCAAAACGAAGAATCAACTCATATACTGGAAGTTGAGATACCATATATCAGGATCCTTTTGATAAATGCACACTTTTCCATTTCCGGAACATTTAAAATCTCGAACCATTTTCGTTTTTCACATTACCGTTATCAAACATAATTTTTAGTACATAAACACTATTACACTCCGGACACTTGTAAACTCCAAATTTCTCCAACTTTCCCACTTTATCTTTGGCATTGAAAAGGAAATCAGATACCTGGCATGTGGTCTGAATGCCACTTCCACATTGTTTTTTTTGAAGAAACATGAACATGAAAGGTCCTTCAGATTAGGTAAAAATGATTCGACATTTTCAAACCATTCCTTGGTATGCAACCACAAGTTCCCGAATCTAAACGATACGGAAATTTTACACTATGCAAGGAACGGTTGCAAACTCAATTATTTGAAATCCTTGGAAATTCACAAGCATGAATATTGCGGGTGCAACCTGTTAAATGATCAAATTGATTCAGTTTACTCACCGGTTTTCAAATTAGCATGTCCGCATTGTCACTAGTAAACACAATTCAGGTTCTCAATCAAGCTAAGTACCTCTATCATTACCTACAGTGG